GTGGGGTGAAAAAGCCAATGATTATCTTAAAAGAGTTTATTTTTTGTGTTTTTTCTGTGTGAAGCAACAAAAGGTGCCAGCAACTGATGAAATTACAGGTTAACACTAAAATCAAATAACACCTAAACAAATAATTTTGGCTATCGATTTTCAATAAATTTTTAAAGAACAATTTTCTGTTAAGTTTCAAGACAATTTGAAGATTCAAATGCAAAAGTTATACACCACATACATACATACATACATACATACATACATACATACACCTTTATTCAAATTCTATATACAAATAAATTCATATATAAAAAATTTGAAAAGGGGAGTTTGGAGGTTAGCCCTATATAACAACTCCCCTGAATAAAAAATAAAAAGTAACAAATGTAGAACTATGTACAGAAAAAAAAAAAAGAAGAAGAAGAAGAAAGGAACTATCTAATGTTTACAATTTTAAAAATATTTTTAATCTTAATTTAAAAAGTTCCAGAGTTCCTGCCTCTACAACATGCTTTGGTAAATTGTTCCAATCGCTAACTACCCTAATAAAAAAAGAATTTTTAAAACAATTTATCCTCGAAGATTTGAAGTAAAGTTTATAAGAATGATTAGCCCTTGTGGAACGCACTTTTGTAAATTCGAAAAATTCTTGAAAGTCTAAATGGGAGAGGCCAAAAACAATCTTGTAACATTCCACAAGTGAAAAGTAGGTTCTCCGTGTGGATAAAAGAGGCCAATTTAAAATGTTGCATCGTTCCTCGTACGGCATTTCACCTCGTTTCTGTCTGAGAGCTAATCTCGATGCACGGTGTTGCACGTTCTCGATTGCATGTATATCTTTCACAAGGTAGGGATTCCACACTGGTACAGCATACTCTAATAGAGGTCTCACCAAAGATTTGTAAAGCAGTGAAAAAGTACTTGTATTGGCTGTTCCATTAGTCCGCCTAACGAGTCCCAGGACTTGGTTGGCTTTGTTTACTATGATACTGATGTGTTGAGACCAGGAGAGATCTTTTGAGATTACAACTCCAAGATCTTTAAAGCTATTAACATCCTTTAAGGTCGAGCCGAGAGTGTAATCCGTAGACGATTTTTCACGGGAATGCGTTATACGCATTGCTTCACACTTTTCCTCATTGAAACGTAATTGCCATGTATTCGCCCAGTGACCGAGGCTATCAAGATCAGATTGAAGTGTTTGTATGTCAGAAGTCGGATTACGGAGTTCTCTATAGATCTTAGTGTCATCCGCATACAATTTAATATTGGACGAAACACAGTCAGCAATATCGTTTATGTATGACACGAATAAAATTGGGCCAAGGATGGTGCCCTGCGGGGTACCAGATACCACGGGCGCCCATTCAGAAAAGGTACCTCTAACAACAACTCGTTGCTTACGGCAGGTGAGGAAGTGCCTTAGCCAGCTTGATAAATAGGCCTGAAATGAAATTCTACCTTGTTTTTGATTATATGTTGCCTAGCACAAGACCAAAATCTACCCAGGCAGAAATCCAAAATGATGGTGGCAGTCTGGGCTTAGTAATATCAATCAAAACTCATTCCTGTTTGTTTCATTTGATAAAGAGAGGATTATTAATGTTTTCATTAAGACAGTATTGCCTTGATTTTCCAATATTTACAATGATAGACAGTGAATTTCACTTTTCACCCACATTTACTTCCAACCTTTTCTTTTGAACCAGAAACAAAAATGATATATGTTTAAAACACTACATCATCCACCCTCATCAAATGTAACAGCACAATCATTTCAATAGTATTGCCTTCTTATCCGAACGTTACTTTGTTTCTTTGCTACATTGGCGAACACTGAACTACTTCTTGTACTCTAAATATGACAATTACACAAAATTCCCTAAACCGAATAACATTAAACATAATCCAAAAAATCATGTAAGTCATCTGTCAATTCATGAGTTTGCTCACAGAGCACTTTGATTTTTACGCATAATGTGTAATACTTCATACACTGTACATTAAAAATTTAAAATACAAAATACTTAGAACGCTGAGAAAAAGTTCCAATGAAGAGCCAGGAAGCTAAATAGCTGCTAAGTTTGGATTGGGATTTTGCAACAGGGCAACACATTGGTCAGCATACGGGGTACCATGCTCAGAAAAACAGGCTTTGTTTTTCATTGAAACTTTTCCATTTCTGCTTGCGTGGGTGCTGGCACTTCTGGTTTCAGAGTGGGACTTTCAGTTATGACTTCCAAGTTCCCTCATCGAGATTCTCCATTGTTTCATCAAGGTCAGCTTTCATTTTCCTCGCAATTGTTTGTTTTCCAGAGCTATTGCACACTCAACGTTTACATAAATTTGTTGGGAGCATATCTGGTGTTGTATCCATGAATACTGCTTGTATATTGAAAATGATTTTGGAATGGATCCACTTAAGCAGGCCTTTGTGCCATAGATGCAAAAACTTTAAAGCATTGTGTTGATCAATACACATTATTTAATGTTAGAATGTCTATAATGTTAGCAGATGGAGGGTGCTATCTGTTTGGTTATGCAATGTACTAATAACGGTGGGACAAAACTTCCTCATATTTGTTCTAAGGTAATCGATCAATAATTGCTCAAGAAATGCATGGGTGAAATGCATCTTCTCCTCTTCTTTGTTAACCACTATTTAGTTAGCAGTGTGGCTGTCACTTGGGATTGAGATTGACTGAGTATTCCAAGGTTAATCACAATTATTCTCATGAGGGAAATGATAAATGAGTTGACACAACTCTTCCATCTCCAGCATCTGAATAAGTCATGTAAAATAACATCTTTCTTTTGTTGTATTGTGAACCTCCACATACCTAAAGAGTATCTGAGTTGATAAAGGATTATGCTAAGTGGGAGATAGTATTAAAGGAAAAATGGCAATTTTGCAAATCCTGAAAGGTTTCCCTCAAAAAACTATCACAACTCCTTATACGTCTTTTATAAGTAAATAGTGATTGAAATAAAATATTCTGATGGATGTGGTCATTTGGTTGGGTTGAGTGAATTTGTAAGGAAGCTGAATCCTTGATTTACCACATTGGTTTACATCAGTATCATGCACTCTTATCAACCATCAATAAAATCTCCCCTAAAAGAATCTTGGAAAATTCAGATGATTTGAGATCATTTAAGCTGTTTCTGTGTCATGACTGCCTTACTGCTAGGAAAATTGCCACCTCCCATGAGGGGTATATTCAGTGCCTAAGAAGTATCCTTTGGTACATGTAAATTTATTGAATTTTGGACTAAAAACCATAATTGAAATTTGAAGTTTTTCTGAGAGGAACTGTCAAAGAAGTACACATTGCTTGCACAAAATTCTTTCAAGTTGGAATCCACAGTTTTGTAAACAATTACAATTGTAAAGACGATGATAATTACGCTGTTAGTTACTGGCGTAAAATCGTACATAAAAAACAACCGACTGGAAGAAATTACGCCGTTAGTTACTGGCGTAAAATCCTACATAAAAAACAACCGACTGGTAGAAATTACGCTGTTAGTTACTGGCGTAAAATCGTACATATAAACGCAACCGACTGCAAGAAATTACGCCGTTAGCTACTGGCGTAAAATCCTACATATAAAACAACCGACTGGAAGAAATTACGCCGTTAGTTACTGGCGTAAAATCCTACATATAAAACAACCGACTGGAAGAAATTACGCCGTTAGTTACTGGCGTAAAATCGTACATATAAACACAACCGACTGCAAGAAATTACGCCGTTAGTTACTGGCGTAAAATCGTACATATAAACGCAACCGACTGCAAGAAATTACGCCGTTAGCTACTGGCGTAAAATCCTACATATAAAACAACCGACTGGAAGAAATTACGCCGTTAGTTACTGGCGTAAAATCCTACATATAATACAACCGACTGGAAGAAATTACGCTGTTAGTTACTGGCGTAAAATCCTACATAAAAAACAACCAACTGGAAGAAATTACGCCGTTAGTTACTGGCGTAAAATCGTACATAAAAAACAACCGACTGGAATAAATTACGCCGTTAGTTACTGGCGTAAAATCGTACATATAAACACAACCGACTGGAAGAAATTACGCCGTTAGTTACTGGCGTAAAATCGTACATATAAACACAACCGACTGGAAGAAATTACGCCGTTAGTTACTGGCGTAAAAATCTTCCATATAAAACTATCGACTGGAAGAAATTACGCCGTTAGTTACTGGCGTAAAATCGTACATATAAACACAACCGACTGGAAGAAACGTTAGTTACTGGCGTAAAAATCTTCCATATAAAACTATCGACTGGAAGAAATTACGCCGTTAGTTACTGGCGTAAAATCGTACATATAAACACAACCGACTGGAAGAAATTACGCCGTTAGTTACTGGCGTAAAATCTTCCATATAAAACTATCGACTGGAAGAAATTACGCCGTTAGTTACTGGCGTAAAATCGTACATATAATCACAACCGACTGGAAGAAATTACGCCGTTAGTTACTGGCGTAAAATCTTCCATATAAAACTATCGACTGGAAGAAATTACGCCGTTAGTTACTGGCGTAAAATCTTCCATTTAAGACAACCGACTGGAAGAAATTACGCCGTTTGCGGCTGGTGTGAAAAATTACTTAGCAGGAAGGTGTATTCATTTTTTTTCTATCATGTTTTAGCGAGGCCACCCTAGTGAGAGGTGCGACAAATTTTTATTTAAGCTTGACGAGGGACAAGGTATGGACAGCTTCTACGGGCATTTCGTTTGTTCCAACTTTCTTACTGTAGAGTCGTAGATGTGCTTCTACCATAAACTTTAAAAAAATGATTACAGTTTACTTTGAATTCGAATGCCTTGTATTGTTTTTTTGTGTGTGTGTGTGCGTGTGTTAGGATGTGTTATCGTTCCAGGTCGCATTTTCAAGACCAGTCATTACCCACGTTATCCCCTGCTATTTGGATTTAGGCAGAATGCATTATGACACATTTCACATTCAAAAAACTATTTATTTCGAAATTTTTAGATTTCGGACAGTGCCGTGGAAGTGGTAGTGAACAACACCCACGTCACTGTCCCCTCTGTATTCTTTTGTTCGGCGACGCTTCGGACTTCGGCATTGGGCCCGAATGTGTCCGACGTTTCCACAGTTGTAACATCTCTCTGCAAGGGAATAAAGACTTTTGTTATAACATTAGCAGTAACAACCACGTGACCCTTCAAAATTCCACAGTGTCTACGGCTGAATAACAGTTGTATCTTTTGCAACGAAATTAGAATGGATTACCATTTCATTAAGAGAGAGTCACTCGTATCTCCATGCGGCCATGTAATATTCCCATTTCACTAAACAACTAGCAGGGAAGTACTAGAAGACCTTCCGCAAAAATGTGACACGTGCAACATGTTATTTTGACATGTGAACGCCGAGGCTTTGGATACAAAGTAATTCGTACGCAAAGGAAATGGTTCGGTGTTTCCCTTTGTATGTAATTCATTTTAATTTATGGGAAAACAATATTTCTCTAATTCACTTCTCGCACTATTGAGACATGTTCAACACTCGAAGGGATATTTCGTATTCTAACGTGCCATGCTATATCGCGTATTTGAGATTTGAAAAATCGGAAAACCAAATTAAAAGGTTAAAAATATATCCAACGGTAGGAAGCAGTTTACATTACTTACTGGGACGACGTGTAGGTTGACGTGGAGGTTGCCGTAAAGGTTGTCGTGGTTGAACAATTGTCTCTCTGCGCCGTTCCTCGACCCTCTCTCGCCTTATCCTTTCTCTATCCTCCTGTCTGCTTCTCTCTCTTTCTCTCCTCCATCTCTCTCTACCTTCATCTCTCGGGCCCTCCTCCTCTCTCTCTACTTCAATACGGAGCAGTTCCATAGCATCTTGGTTTTCACTCATCTGAAAGGCAGAACCCATGTAATTCAGCGGACATCCAATATTTCTTTTACAAAAAGGTGCCATACAACTGAAAGGATACTTACAACGAAAAGTAGCTGTAATGGAAAACAGTCGGATCTCTTAAGCAGTGAATGTATTATGCAAGCTTGAATGACTCATAAACTTTTCTTAATGGCGCATTTGATAAAACTTACACAACTCAGAAAACTTGACTGACTTACGGTTTAAATTGGTGTTAAACTTTAAAACTCGACTTCCCGATAGGCGAATCTGTTAATGAAAAATTGATAATTGGCAAAGCTAACGCATACCACGCAAAGAAAAGCGAAATTTCAACTTACCAGGTGAACACGATGTCGGGACTCAAGCCAGTGAGAGTAAGTGACATTTGCACAGTTCTTTTATCACAGACGAGGATCACACGAAAATAAACCACCAACCACAAGATAGACGAATGCGAAAAGATTTTACGCCAGTAACTAACGGCGTAATTTCTTGCAGTCGGTTGTGTTTATATGTAGGATTTTACGCCAGTAACTAACGGCGTAATTTCTTCCAGTCGGTTGTTTTATATGTAGGATTTTACGCCAGTAACTAACGGCGTAATTTCTTCCAGTCGGTGATACATATATATATATGTAACATTTTACGCCAGTAATATAAATTAATTATATTTTAATTTATTATAATTTAATCACCGACTGGGTTAGTGGCGTAAAATCTTACAGTATATAGACTGTGTTAGTCGCATATTACGCCGTTATATATATATTCCCTGGTGAACCGATCATACCAATGACTAAAATCTGGAAAAAAGCTGGAAAGAGCACCTTAAAATTAGTAGAAATGTCGATAGATTTTCGCTACCTGATCAAAGTCAAAAGTTGAAAAAAAAATCCTGGAAAGGTCTTTTAGATAAAATCACGAAATTACTCGGAAGAGGAGACAGACTTGACAGGTCAACAACCATTTGGAGCAGAAGGGGATCACTGCGGCCACCTCGGCGGATGGAAGACTTCGTTTAGATGTACTTAGATTTGCCAATCGATAAATACGAATATCAGAAATATGCCTGGGACGTTTGGTCAAGTCCGTCATATCCTATTTCCGTATTTTAATTGCATGATCCCAACAAATGCCGGACTGGTGGCTGGGAACGCGTATTTAGTCACTATCCAACTTTATCAGAACACGGGACGATTCAGAACTGCTAATTATAACTTTTAAGACCGTCGTCACTGAACACGGATGTCAGAAACAAATGTGACGTGAAAATGGACTGAAATGGTAAAACTCTCAAAAAAGATAAACGGGAAAGTCAAAACTTCATTAAATTGAGACGATATGACAGTGTTAATCTCGGGCAGATTGTTTAAAAACAATGGAAATGCCTAAGAACTGCGTTTTGAGTCTCCAAATTTACAGGGGACGGGAGCAGGATTGAAAAAGGCGGGAGTCGGGAGATATACGATAAAGGTACGGGAAGCGGGAGGTTCTGACTCCCTATCCCCCCCCCCCTCCCCCCTCTAAATCACTAAAACATCACTAAATACCTACTTGCTTTGCAGATTTTATATTTAACAATTGCACTATGAGCTCGAGATTTCTATCGCGTGATAGCTGAAGAGCGCGCGGCCCGAATCAGCTATCGTGCATAGAAACCGAGAGCGAATAATCTAACTGTTTTAGTATAAACTAGTTGTTCAAAACTAAATGAGTAAATTATCTAAGTTCTTTCCGCAGAAAATTTGAAAGCGCGGAGAAGCAGCCGCCATTCTGTCGACAAAAACGCTACTCACTATGTATCACCGAATAGATAGCGAGTAGCATGGCCAATCGGAGACCGGAATTTGTGATAGAACGCTAGTAGATTTATACTAAATGAGAGTATTTAGTGTTAAATCGCGTAAACATGCACGGTTATTGTGTATTACCAGCGGCGTCCGGAAATTCCATTACATTTTGTCCGACATAAGGAACAATACGCACGCAGAACGTTTGCAATATATTAAAAAAAATGTGCGCTCTTTTAGTTTCTTGTCACTAATTTGCACTTCGTACATCCGTAACTTACAAAACGGACCGGCAAGACGAGGTTTGTAAGACTAAGAGATATAATAATTAACTATTACGATAAAAAGTTATAAAGGTTGAAAACTAATAAAAGTCAGTCGAGCGTCGGTAGAGTATCGGCCGAGAGTCAACAGTCTATCGGCCGACTAGCCGTCGCGATAAGGATGCTGCCGACCGACACGAGTCGGTCGCCACTCGACCGACTATCGATCCTTGTCGAGCGAGTGTCAACCATGCGTCGATCGACATATGGACCGATTGTCTATCGACACTCGACCGACAAGTCGATCACGTGTCAACCACACTCGATCGATATGTCGGTCGAGTGTCGATCGCTGGTATCAATCGCCACTCGAACGCGGGTGCCTTTAGTACACATGATCCGGATCATCAAATCATTTTAGATTATGTTAAAAAATAAGTCAGTCAAGGAAAAAGTTACTCAAAAGATTTAATAAAGTAAGAATAAGAATTAAAGAAAAATAATTAGTAACTAATACATTACATGCGTATTAAAATTAAAAATAAAATCTGAATATCTTTCAAAACACACTCACAAATTTCAAGTCTAGCAACAACCCAAATATTTTATTCGCACTATAACCTTGCTTGTTTGACAGTAGAAAATCAAAGTCAATAAAAAGCTAACTATAAAAGTTTTGAAACAAAAAAAACAGCAGTTTTATTATATACTAATAAGTACATGCCTGTTCAGCCATCTTTTTGTAACAGAGATAACTGTCAATGGCTTTACAGCAATCCACAGTAATTCCTGTCAACATCAATGGAAGAATTTGAATATAATCGGTTCGATCTTTTTGATTTAACTGGATCTAGGGTAAGCTTCTTCCCTGCCCTACTTACATCTGGTCCATCTAATTTCCATCTAAAAAGAAAAGGCGCACAATATGTATAGCAAAATTTTTATTGAAGATGGACCTTATTTTATTTATTATTATTTATTCAAGTTTATTTATACAGGGATAAAACATCAGGACTTAAAGTACTTACTAAAATTGCATTAATTAAATCGTTAAGATACCAATCTACCACTAATTAAATCTAATAACAACAAAATAAAAATAATAACAAAGTGCCCGCTTTCCATGAATGCTGTGTGATTAATTAAGTCATTTATTATCATAAAGGAAACCCCTGCAACCTGCAAAAACCAGATACAATAGGTCTATTGAAAATAGCACAAAGAGAATTTGCGACCAGATCAGCACACTTTTGAAGAAGTCGTGTCAAGATTTTATCTGGTCCCATCGCTTTAGATTTACAAAGTTTAGATAGTAAAGAAAAAACTGTTGAACAGTCAGTGATTTTGAGTTCAAATCTATGTTTGGTCTCCTTAACATAATCTAGGTAAGACGGAGTGTCCCCATTCTGTTGGATGGCATTGATCAGTTTCATTCCAATACTAGAATCAAAGTGCCCTGTGAGCAAACTCGTGAATTGACACATGATTTTTTGGATTATGTTTAATGTTATCTGGTTTAGGGAATTTTGTGGTCGATTGTCATATCTAGAGTACGAGCAGTAGGTCAGTGTTCGCTAATGTAGCAAAGAAACAAAGTAAAGTTGGGATAAGAAGGCATTACAATTGAAATGATAATGCTATTGCATTTGATAAGGGCGGATGATGTCATGTGTTTTAAACGTATATCATTTCTGTTTCTGGTTCAAAAGAAAAGGTTGGAAGTAAATGTGGGTGAAAAGTGAAATTTAGCGTCTATCATTGTAAATATTAGAAAACCAAGGCAATACTGTCTTAATGAAAACATTAACGATTCCCTCTTTATCAAATGAGACAAACGGGAACGAGTTCTGAGTGATATAACTAAGCCAAGACTGCCACCGTCATTTTGGATCTCCGTCTGGGTAGATTTTAGTCACGTGCTAGGCAACGTATAATCAAGAACAAGATAGAATTTCATTTCAGGCCTATTTATCAATTTTGTGGTTTATAACTTTCGCATTTTAGTATGTGATATTTATTTTGAATCTTCAAATTG